CCATCAGCTTCTTTACATTATAACATTGTATTATCCTGAGAGCTGAAGCAGGCAGCAGTGAAAACTAACAGAGGCGAATTTCACATTATTTTAAAAACCTTTGGATGAACTAACGGCTATCAACAATTCTTAATTAGCGTGGTCCAGTGGGGAAGGACCTGGACTAGAAATGGGGAGATCTGGATTCTAGTCCTTCTTCAACCACAGAAGCGCATTGGCTGACCTTGGACCAGTCCCTCCTGCTCAACCCAAGAGCCAATCAGGTGCAGTGGGGAAAGTGCTGAACCAGGAACGAGGAGACCATGGGGAAGCCATGGGAGCTCATTGGCTGAATTTAGGCCAGCCCCTCCCTCTCAGTCCAACAGCCAATCAGGTGCAGTAGGGAAAGTGTTGGACTAGGAGCAGGAAGACTCAGATTCTACTCTACCGTCAGCCTTAGAAGGTCTTAAAGTGATTGTGGACCAGTCACTTTCTCCCAGCCAAACCTACCTCTCTGTGCTGTTATTGGAAGCTATGCATGCTGCTTTAAGCTCCTGAACGGAAGGACATATAAATCTAACAAGTTTATAGATACATTTATATACAAATCTAACAAATAAATAATAGAAATCAACAGCTGCCTCCAGGAACAGTCTCCCTCCAGATCCTAAATGTGCCTGAGGAAGAACACATGCCACTGGGTTCTCCTTGTGGTATTTCCAGGGAGAGCCTGACGTTAGAAACCAGACTGATTTGCAGTTCTCATGCAGAGAACCAGTGTAGAGCAGGCCCCTCCATTTGCACTGCCCCATTTGACTTTGAAAGTTTGTGCATGAGAGTTGCTGGGCTACCAAGCAAAATCTCTGTCTCTGGCACGAAAATATTGCTTAGAACAGCCAAGTCCACAAGATCTCGCTGCTTTGCTCCATCGCTTTCAAACTCTGCTGTTCCAATGGCTGGAGCAACGGGCTGGGGTTTGGACCACTTTTGCCATTTTGACCCCCCTGCTTGCCCCGCCCTGCAGATGCCATCATTAACAGGGCTGCTCCTAGCTTTGGGTGGCAGGCAACAGACCGTACGCTAAAAAGTAGAGTGAAGGAAGCCAGGACAGAAAAGAAACATGCTTAAATTGACACATACAGTGGGGCAAAAAAGTATTTAGTCAGCCGCCAATTGCAAGTTCTCCCACTTAAAAAGATGAG